GCCGTTGCGCCTGTGAATATTTTGATGCTGATAGTTTTCATATCGGCCGGTAAGTTTTGGGTGTTATTGAGTTCCCCGTCCTTTGAATCCGCACTGGACCTTGAAGGATGACCACAAGAGGTCAGTGCTTTTTGACGGATGCTAGTTTTTGCTGTGGTGAATTTTCTAATGTCTGTAGGTTGAAAATTGGCGGGTTATTTTTGCTGATATCGAGTTACCCGTCTTTTGACCCAGCTTTTTACCTTGAAGGTCACATAATATTGCCAAATAAGGGTCATTTTTGGTGTTTTGGCGCCTCAATTGATCTTGCGATCTTTTTTTCAGAAAATCCGCAGCTCGTTGCTGAATAAATCGCTGAATACGTCTCTCTCGGATGAGATATGCGTGCCAGGCCATCAGAGGCGTGCACGTGCGTAAGTTCTGGCGTTCCGGTGTCTCGCCTCCGGTTCACTGGTACACTCAGTAAGTCCAAAGTCACTTTTGTATTTGACACTCGTCACAGGCATTTCACCAAGTTCCGTCCCGCCGGCGCGCCCGTCCTCGCGCCGGTGGCTCTCTGAGTCTTCTCCTCGTTGCTCCCCTTCTCCTGGCCCTCGCGGCCGCGTCCCTCGCACGGGTTGCCTGAGGCAGGAAGAGGGGAACGCCAAAGAACTCGAAGCAGCGCTCGCCAAACTAAGCAAACATTCACTGGCAGCACATAGGTGTTCTCTGACACCTTACACTACACCCTTCTTAAATGAAGAATACCCTCCATATTGAATAATTCGGTCACGACATAATGAACAATCCATGCCATATTGAACACATTTCACGAACCTAACTTAACGTGCACAGTGAGAGAGGCCCTTAAACGATATCCGTCACGTTATTGCAACTAACATAAACAACACCTTACCACAAACAATACGAATACATCATGAATCCTGTCATGCACACAGCTGTTGCAATCATGGGCTAAATCGATCTGGAGGCCGTCTGACTCGGGCGCTCCGCTGTTCAAGATGAACGTTCGAAGACGGTTGTTTTACAGACACTTGGATTCGGAACTTGGACGCATTCGAATGGGGACTCGGACTTGGTGGTGACTCATTGGTTTGCACCAGGTTACGGAGGAACAGTGGTGACGTGGGCCGCGGGCTACCTGACTTGTGCGCCTGGGTAGGACACGGAATCGGTATCGCTGCTGTTGCCCGCTCGTCAAGCGGTTCAGCCGCGGCCTGGGCTGGTGTAGGATTCGCAGTTTCGGTCTCTGTCGGCTGAATCACGGCTCGGGCTGGAGCGAGATTCACGGCCTCAGCGTTCTGAGGCGGACACCCATCCACGTCAGTTCCCTGCGTCACTGGCAGACACACAAATGGTGCTGCTGGTTCAGCCGGTACAGCTGTCTGCTGTCCGTCTGCGGACATCGGTACGGCCGGTGGTCGTATGAGTGTCTGAGTCGGCACCTGGGGCTGCGACTGTGCTGTCTGGCTATGCGCCGCTGCGACAGGCGCAGTCCGGTGTCTTGGCGTTGCCGACGGTGATTGCCGCTTTGCAGTGTCACCGTTACGCGGCGTCGACCGATTGTGGTGGGCCACCAGTTTCCTGCGCCTGCCGCCGCACAGCTGAATGCAGAATTTTGGCTCACCTGTTTGGGCAGGCACCACCGTGGGTGAGCAGCCACTGAAGGCTGCTCTGGTCGGTTCGCAACACATACTTCCGTCCCAACAGGAAGTGACGAGAGTGCGCCAATTGCGCGACCGCTGCGAGAAGCTCTCGTTTTGTCGTCGAGTAGTTTTTCTGGCTTTTAATAAGGGTAGCGTTTGCGTGGGCTATCACCCGCTCTCATCTGTGTTGCACCTGCGGAGGGCAGGCCCCTACCCCACGGCCGGATGCGTCTGTTTTCCAGGATGAAGGGCGCTGCGTCGTCTTCAAATCGAGGCAAAGCCACCACCGATGCTGAGGTCAGCAGGTCCTCCAGCTTGATGAATGCTGCGGCCATGTAGCGGCGAAAGTAACCAGCCAATCCAAAAAAGCTAAGTAGCTCCTTTTTGGATCTGGACACTGGCCAGTTTACTACCCTCTGTGCCTTTTCTGGACCGGGACCGATTCCGTCTTTTGAAACTCGGTGACCGAAGCACATCACTCCTGATCGGATCAGCTGGCATTTTGCCGGGTTTAGAGTGAGGCCTGCGCTGCTGATGCGCTTGAGCACTCTTTCCAGATGATGCAGGGCCTGGATGATCGAGTCGCCGTGGACAGCGATATCGTTGAAGTATGTCAGACATTCCTTCAGCGCCAGTCCGTGCAACATGATGCTGAGTAGCCGGGCGAATGAGCTCGGCGCCCCGGCGAGACCGTGGCTACAGCGCTGTCAGGATTACAAGCCCCAGGGCATGAGATAGCCGTCTTGTTTCTGTCCTCCGGCACGACCTCCATCTGATTACACCCCAACTTCAGATCTAGGGTTCAGAACATGGAGGAGCCAGCCAGAGACTCAAGAACGTCATCAATTCTAGCGACCGGGAAGGCCGGACCTGAGTGATGCTGTATACCGTGAGCATGTCGGCACAGATACGCAGTCCGACCTCATCGCGTTTGCGGACCAGCACCAGTGGATTGGCCCAGGCACCATTGCTCTCCTCCAGGATACTTTTTCCACCAGATCGTTGATTTGAGCTTTCACCTCGTCTCTGAGGCGGCATGGGAAACGTCTCGGCGCCTGTTTGATAGGCGGATGGTCGCCTGTTGGAATGTGCTGAACCAGCGTGGTGAGCCCCACTCGTCCGCTAAACAGATGGTAATAGCCTGTCAACAATGTTTCTGCCTGTGCCCTTTCCGACTCAGCCAGCTCCGCTGATATTTCGATCGGCGGTATTTCGGGACATTGTTGCGCTGAGACCGCGCCGCATACTTCTGCCCGATCATTTTCTCTGTGTACATATTGGAAGTCGCGGTCGAGCGATTCAATTTGGTGTTTTCTGTACACCGTTACATATTGTTGCGACATATTTCTCAAAAGTGCCGGGAGGCGCCGACCAAGCTGAACCTGCACTGCTGCAGGTATCGTCAGCAGATACGTATCTCCGTCACCTTCGACGAACGCTGGACTCTCAAGACTCGTCATCAGCATAACCTTCGATGAAGCGTTCCGCCCCGGTGTCACCTACTGGTCCTGCCGTACTACCACGCCGTAGACCGGCTCTGCTTACTCATGGCCCGCTGTACCTGACCTCCGGAGGACGGCGGCCCGGCCGAGGTTGTCTTCGCACGGTCCGGGGCCTGAGTTAGCTGATGGGCCGGCGCCGACTGGGCTGGCGACGGAAACAAGAGGCGGCGAGACGCGACATCCACCGGACAGCGGAACCGTTGGAAAAAGTCCCGACCCAAAAACGGCTTATTCAAGATGTTGTCACCAAAATCAGAGCCGCGAAAGACTTGGGGTCAGCGATGAACGCGGACACCCATTGCCCGATACCATTGAATCGAGGAACTGGGATTTGGATGCTGAAGGCTGTCATGTTGGATTGCAACAAAACAATACAAGGTTCTTTCGTGTCTGATTTCAGATGAATACGTACTACTTAGCTAAAATAAAGCCATAACATCAGCAAAACGATCACAATTTGTTTGAACTCCAAACATGAGAACATGACAGTTGTAGGACTAATCCATGTCACTCAAAACTGACAACTGCATCACCTCACACCCACGACTGTTTGGGGCCGTTCCGCGCGCAGTAGAGGGGGTGTGGATCTTGGGAGCTGCTGTCGGACCCTGGGCAGAGCGTTGTCCCCTTGTTCACTCTGCGGCGACTGGGCTGCTGTCCCTCTTTCTCCGGATAGCAGTGATGACACGGCGTCGGGAAGGCGGTGGGCAGGTCCTGGGTGGAGGCTGCGGCGTCGGTTTACTGAGACGACTGAGAGGGGTCTGTTTCTGGTGGAGGAAGTCACAATACAGGACCGCCCCACGCACAATGGAGCTGACTGGTGGCGATGGCTACGGTGGGGCGAGCACTGGTAGACGCCGTCTTCTCAGCTACCGGTGAGGCCCAACTGCCGACTGCGCCACGATGAATGACGACGAGAATCACCAGCGAGGTCGGACGGACAGGTTGAGGACGCTTCGGCGGCAGCAGTCACCTCAAGACTTGGCGGAGCGGCTGAGCTCCATAGTGGTAGAACGTAGCCGGTTTGAGCGTAGGTAGCCAGATCGACGGGAGGCGTGAATTCGAATTCATGCAAGGAACGAGCTACACCGCTACTGCCAATGTAAGTTCTGGCGTTCCGGGGTCCCGCCTCGGGTTCACTGGTACACTCAGAAAGTCCAAAGCCACTTCTGTATTTGACACTCGTCACAGGCACTCCATAAAGTCCGTCCCGCCGGCGCGTCCGTCCTCGTGCCGGCGGCTCTCCGGGTCTTCTTCTCGTTACTCACCCTCTCCTGGCCCCCTCGGCCGAAACGGAGGTCGCCAAAGTAAGCAAACATTCACTAGCAGCACATAGGTGTTCTATGACACCTTACACATGCAAGGGACCACGAACACGAGTCACCCACCCAACGGCTTCATGAATTTAAGGAATCACGTGATAATAATGTGGTGCTGGGATTGTGTTTGCCACTGCACTCCTCAAAGAGGGTATATTTTGGGATGTGTTGGTAAAGAGGTCGCTGACAAATGTTCGGCATGGCGAATTATCGCATGTCGAAGGAAAAACGGGGATGAATGTGATCAGACACAGACGTTGAGGGTTGCCTTGGGGATGTTTTGAACGATTGAACATGCAGTGGTCACTCTCGCAGTCTCACTTTTTCACAGGCCGGCATCTTTCTGCAGCAGTTTACCGCTGTGTTTCGCTGAGTGCTTTTTTTTGTTAACTGGAAAACTTTCAAAATGCTGCAGATCAGTCAATATATGGTAGCACTCTTGAAAGGCAACTCTAACGCATAAGCGACAAAATGCAGTTGGCTCGTCTGTACGGAAAGGCTCATTGAGAACCGTGAAAAAGTCTGACAAAAAGCACGTTGTTGGTTTGTGTGGGCGGATTCTGCACCCGTGCGAGGTCTCATGGTTGCGTTCATATAGATCACTGGCTTCGCATACACTTCCATTCCCTGAGATCTTTCTGGTGTCAAAGTATACAATTCAGCTGTGCTGCTTCTTGTCAGGTAAATTGTCTCTTAGATTGTAGTAAGACGTTCTGTTTTGACTAGTGTGGTCGCTCATGTCCCCAGACCCTCTCAGGGTAAATATTTTCGTCTTGATTTTAGAACATAACAGCTATTTGTGTGAGCATTTGTTTGCTGTCATTGCTTTAGATGTGTACATAGATGTTCTTACTCATACATAAAATGTTGAGTGTCTTTTTGTCTAAACAGGCTGTAAACCATGCAGCAGAAGTTAAAAGCATTTGAATGGTCATTGCATAGGGTCATGTCTTAGACTTGCCCCAAGCAACACAAAAATTTGCATGTTCATCTTTTTGAACTCATTTTGCACAGTGCATTGTGTGTTTTCTTGTGCAACCATGGAAAATATATGGTATAATTATGAAGACAAAGTAGTTGCAGATTGCTATCAACATTAAATGGTGATGTATGATGAAGTATACAGTCAATAGTGGAAATGATATCATGATGTGTGTTTGAGGTAGTGGTAGATTTCTATGAACATAAATTGTGGTATTTGAGGAATAATGTAGGAGTGTATGTAGCAATGGTAAGAGGAATGTATATATGTGTTGCAATACATTGTGCACATGATTGTTCATTGTGTGTCTTCTAATAAATTATGTATATTCTATTACACATTTATGTAATATTAGACATAATTAATCACTGTTTATTATTTATATTACACTGCATACATGCATTAGTAACCTCATTGTTATCATTCTATGTTGGATTTTACTCATCCAATTATCCACCTTTTGTAATTCCATGACATAGCATTGCTGGCCCAGAATGTCTGCCTTGCTGGTTCTTATTGGTGCTTTATACTTGTCTCCTATCTTCAGTCCACAACACACTCTGTCAGAGTCATGAAGCATTTCAACATTTGTGTGGGTAAGGCAATGCAATAGATGCATCTTCCCCTCATGATGCTGCTTATGATAATTGTGCAACTATGGTGGCTCCTAGTGAAGGCATTGATGCTCACATTAGGTATATCATTTATTGGTTATATCCAGCATCTCACAGGAGCTTGTTCTTGCATAAGACAGAGGTACGGTCTCTTCAAAATAAGATCAGGGCTGAAAAGAGATGCTCAAATATACCCTTAAGTGTGTCTCCCTGGGTTTAGCCCCCTGTCTTCCCAAATTTAGGGGGTGGAGACCCTCCTCCCCCCCACTACGCCCCCTTCCCCCATGAACGTGAACAAGTTGTGGTGCAGCTATTGCAAAAATTTCCCAGATGGGTGCTCAGCCGTTGATATCCTCAAACAATTGTTTTGCATTAATAGGTGGTTTTGAACTGAATTAGCCATCTTGAAGACCTTTTGGTCCAGTCAACAGCCCTGCCCTTCCTAAGACCGAAATCTCTCTAGTTTCTGAGCCACATGTCCGCGAAAATGGAGGGAGTATTGCTGGGAGAGTATTTCAAAGTCACCTCGGCATTTGTGATGTTATAATAACGTCATTTAAATCCTGTCATTCCAGAAGCCATGCAGTGATCAAGGCTGATAGAAATATAATGGTCGAGTTGTTCATATCTGGTGTTCGTGAGCACGGTTTCCAGGTATAACGATCGTCAAGTGGCTTTCAATCAATGTTGTGCAAGGTTTGATGATGTAACAACGACGCATCGATGAGCTTGTTTACTAATTCCAAAAAATATAAGAAATGGTGTGTCTAGAGCAGTTTTGTCTACTTTAAATATACCAGTGGTGATAAGTTAGCTTGTCTCATTATAGCTGATGCTTGCTTAATGTCTTCAAACTTGAATCTCTCCCTGTAATGGTGATGTAGCTATTGTATTTAGGAATTATGCATAACTTTGTAGGAGAAGAAAGTGAAATGATTCCATCACTTCTTGATCACCATATGGATGATATTTTTTTGCTGAAGTGTTAATTTAGCAAGATGTACGCCATTCTATGGGGTCGAAAATTATCAGTGTTGAATTGTTTGAAGTCTTGAATTATGCTGCATGTGAAACACTCATGAAAACTCAATGGATTTCGTGGAAAGGGGTACGAGACAAGTTGCTGAATGTTTTTTTTTTTTAAGCAGCAAGCAGACCATGTTGAGTTTGATGTGTGACAGGGCTGAAGCAAAATCGCATGGAAGCGTTTCTCAAATTATTTCAAAAAGAGGTGTTGACTAGGAGCAGGTTAGAGTAACAGTGAGTTGCAGTTTTGATTATTTAGTAACAGTACGCACTCGACAGTACGACAGCACGACAGCGGTGCAATAACAAATGCACGCTGGTCACTTTTTCCAGAATGGCAGCAGCTGTGTGCCATAATTCGGCAAACCTTGGCGAAGAATCGGTTCTGAACGGGGTGGAAGTTCGCAACATAGATGAAAGCATTGTAAGTACTTTTTGTGTCATATGAAGAGGCGAATGTTCAGTATGCCAGTGCGGAGTTGGTCGATTAAAGAAATCCACTTCGTACTTGATGTCCTTTGATTTTTGGGAGCAGTGATGTATGACGGTTATTATCTTTGAGTGGTGTATCTAAGTCATTGTTTTTGTTTGTGTCGTTTATTTTGTTTTTATTTATGTCATTTGTTTTTCATAATATTATTTGCGACCACGTTTTTACATGTTATGCATACATACCATAAGATGCGCACCATGTAGACAGCAATATGTAGGGACTGACGTAATATACAGCACATACAGGAGTTTGACGCCGGTGCACGCCTCCCGCCCCCCCCCCCTCCCCTTTCCTTAGGAGGGGGAGGTGGGCGCCGGGGTATGCTGGGGCGTTGGATGCTGTCCCTCAGGAGGCTGAGGCTGCAGGCCAAAATCCCCAAAAAGAAATATGTTTTCCAAAATGCGATCAAAGATTATAAGTACCTGGCGAAGGAAATTTGCGCTTTACGGAGCCCAGATGGTGAATGCAAAGATTCAAACGTTGTATAAAGGTATATATAGGGCGTTGGTATCTGTGGAATGTGCCATGAGAAAACCGCTGCGCGGATGAGTTATTCTACCTTTAACTTTTATTCCGAATATTGTCTTTTGACTTGGTCACCGGGACCAATGACGTACTGCTGTTCTCGTTGATGCCATTCAGGAACAGGTGTTTTGGTGTCGCGTAAGGGCAACAAGTATACTGTTGGTACAGGTATCAGTTGATCGGTATGTGTAAATGCACAGCTCTGATGTAAAGTCACGAAATGTCCCGGGGTTCCGGGTTTGCAGATTTGACAATATGGAGATTTCAGGATTTTAAAAAGCACTGGGATTTATTTCCTTCGTGTGTGGCCGGCAATATTGCCAAACGCGGATATTTTGGTGAGGTAATGGTCGCAACTGGAAAACTAAGCAACCGCGTGATATGCAGTGTTTTGAATGGTCGTGCTTTTGCAAGAGCGTTGGTCTTGGCGATAATAAGTTGCATAGCACGAGTTCCATCTTTTTCAGTGAGTGTCCGTTATATCGATTGGACTGCGTTTGCGTATAGAGTGGCGTATCAGTGCACTCACCCATGGCGTGAAGCGTATTTTAAAGCTGCATTTGCGTTTCACTGCTGTGATCTGACGCTAATTATTAAGCGTGCCGAAAACAGGCAGCTTCATGGCTGGCACTCTAGTGCGTGGTGTTCGAATGGATGTTTGTTTCCTTTACCTGCTCTTTTCCTGAGTCAGCTGGATGATCTGTTGTTACTGGGACCTTTTTCCGGATATCTAGTCTTGGCGTCGACTCGTACTGCGGCAATGTTTGTAACTTGCAAATTTGCATATTTTTGATGCTGTAATGTCGCAGGAAAACCACGCAGATCAGCCAGCAAGCGTAGGCCCTGTACTTATTACAGCACAACTTCCCAATGATTCCGACACGTTTTGCCGAGAACAAATATGCAGAATCGGATTTGTAATCGCAAAGACATAAAGATATAGGACTGTCAAAGGTGGTACTGGCTAGGCCGCTGAAGCTGCCAAGTGTCCGGACAGTTGAGTTAAGAGGCAAGCCCGGCCTGGGGCCCGTCCCGCAACCATGGCCCACCATAACAAGCACGCTGTGGTCAGCGCCTGGTGTTGTCCGTGCTTCAGGGTAAGGGCCTGTTTGCGACGCGCGACTTCAAATCCGGTGATGTGATCTTCGAGGAGCGCCCTCTCGTCTGTTGCCAGTTCCTTTGGAATGCCGCATACGGCTACCTGGCCTGTGACTTTTGCATGAGGTAAGACCCGGCGTTCATGTACATCTGTGCTTCTTCATTATCGCCACTGTGAAACAGACCACTGACCCAGTCGGTGTGTTGTCGCTGGGGTAGATTTGTGACTGGTCGTACTTGCCCTAGCCGTCGTTTAAGTGAAGACATCGGCAAATGTCTATGTGGTACTAACAGACTCAGTGCCACCAATCAGATGATACTCTGTGCTGTTAATCTGCGCGAGCCCTACGCTTTTCCCATTAATAGCATTGCCTTCAGCTGTACGAAGTGTGGCGCGGCAGGCGGCACCCTTAGGACTTAAATCTGAAAAACCTTCGGGTGGGGTAAAGTTGACTCCCACCCTCCATCCCCACTGAAGCGCGTGCTAAGGAGTGGGGCTCTAGATGCATGGGGACGTGCTCGATTACCGTCTCGGGGACTGTCGTCGGCCTTTTCTCACCAGGCTGTAGCTGAGGTAATAACCTTATCGTGATTTACGTGTCATGTGTGTCGTCACTGCATCGGTGAACAGTTGCAACACGTCTGACGAGGCCAGAGGTGTGATGATCGGCGGGTTAGGCGCAGGTGTAGCGCTGGATGCCTGACCTGACGTGTGGCTGACTGAGTCGCGGCCGAGCGTTCTGTCACGCTTCACCATTCTGCCGTGGTGTGTGTGGGGACGTGACTGACTGTCCGCTCCACCAGCGGGAGACTGAGCAGGCGCGAGTATCCTGGACGCTCCCGGCTCTCCTGTCGTGCCGATCTGCCACCTGGCTCCGTCCGTTCATTTGCACGCTCGCAACTTAACGCACGTGTCATGCGTGCGCGCGAGCGTGTCGGTGTGCCCCCGCGAGGTGGCTGGTCTCGCTCGGTGAACTGCACGAGACCCCGCGCTTTCGCCTGACGCGCGCCGCTGTCTGCGCCAGACCGCTGGAGACGGCCGAGGAGAACGCCCGCCGGCTGACAGGCAACAACGCCCTCACACTGCCGCACCCTGAGTGCTGCGGCACCAAGAAGGAATTCGTCGTCGAGTGCCCCACGTGCGACGTGAGTGTCCCCTCTGCGCGGACGAGTGACGCGCTTGCAAAATGGAATGGACGGAGGGCAGTGGATGGTCAGTTAAGTAGTAAGTGGGCTGGTCGTCGTTGAAACGTAGGAAGGGGACGGCCAGGTCCACCAACGGAGTTCCGCTCCGCGGAGCGGTTCGGAGTTCCGAACCACTCCGCGGCCAAGTGCTGGAGCGTTTGGGATGGCGCGTCTCACAGCTCGCTGCGCCCACGGATGTGTGTGCTGTCGGCTTGAGTTTGGATGCGCGACCGGCCCCCAGCCTGTGCCGTGCCGGGCTGCCGGCGGCCGCCGCCGCGAGTTGAGGGTCGTGGGGGTGCCAGTTCGGCTGTTCTGTCCCTTCCCTTCTTCCTCGTGGTGAGGCCCGCAGAGGCCCGGATCAGCCAGCTTTGAGTGTGTTTGTGTTGTGGTTAGCTTCGCGCCCCATGCGTGGTCTGTCGCCGGATGACCGCGGTTTCCGCGGCGGCGCGTCCGCGGGTGGACCGTCCGCCGTTGTGGCAGCGCGCGAATGCGTGTGCGGCCAGGCCAGCTACTGCTGCGAGGCATGTCGCGACGCCGCCTGGAGCCAGTACCACAAGACGCTGTGCACGCGCTCCTTTACCAGAGACGCCTCTCACCCGCTGGTCATTCTCCAGGAGACGTGGAAGTGAGTGAGCTGTCCGGGCGCTGGGTGACCGTTTGCTGTGGTGGAAGGAGCGCATGCTTCGTTTAACCCCTATGTTGTCATTCCGTACGCACTGTTCCACAGCGTTTGACATAACGGTGCAATGCCTAAGTTTTTAGATTACTTTGGCACTGCTGCACTGCTGCCATTGCATGCTGCGTTATGGACTACAGTGATGTGCAGCGATAAATTATGTAAAAATTTAACACCGTGCCGATGCAATTCAAGCATTATTCGCGTCTTTTACGAGCAAACAAACAAAAAAAGACAAGAAGGTCTCGGGAAGGAAGTGCCTGTGTGGATCTATGGGGACCTGTGAGGGTCAGTGTGGTTATCACTCGGGCTTAACGACGCACTCAGCTGCTGAGGCTATGTGGCGTCGCCTGCCTTTCACCCCGGCAGGAAGGGCGGGCACCGCGGGAATCGAACCCCGTACCTCTGGTTTCCCAGACGCGCAGTGGTCAACGCAGACGCGTTAACCTCCACGCCACCGGCACCGTGGGGACGCGTGTCTACGTCACCTTAACGCATTGTGTTGATGGCGATGTCTTGCGGCAGGAAGATGCACTACCCACCGGAGACGGCGTGCATTATGCTGGTGGCCCGCATGCTGGCCACGGTACGGCAAGCGGCCGACACGGAGGGTGCCGTTAACCTCTTCATGCAGGTACGGCGGCCGGGCGGCCACCGTCCCTCAGACCCCACGTTCGCGTCTGGGTCAGGGCACGCTGTCCGGGCGTCCAGGGCTCCACGTGGAAAACACGCGCATAGAATCCACGCCGCGAAATGAAAAACCAAATTGAACTTTGGATGCATGTGGAGAAAACGCACAGGCTAGTGCAGGGCTGTGTTCTGGTCAGCTACTCGCAAGCTACTGCACGGTCGTGGCCAGATCTTCGCCTGACCAGTGTCCGCCGCCTGTTCCAGTTCTGCCACCGCACAGTGAACGAGGAGGAGGAGATAGCGCACAAGATGCTGGGCGTGCAGTTTTCCGACCAGCTGGAAACTCTGCGGAAGCTCATGTCGGACGCGCTGTACACGCCGGACGTCCACCAGGTGAGCTGATGTGCGGAAGCCGACGCTGGAGACGATGCGGTAACCCGCGCCGAACCCTCAGGCAGTCAGTGCTGTTCCCGCTGAGCGCTCGGCTGGGAGACGAGGGGGGGACCGTCCAGACCACTGATGCGTCTCGCCTCCATTGCAGTACCTGGTCGAGCCGCAGCGGGAAGTGCGGCGGAAATGTGGCCCTCGTCTGTACGGCTGGGCACTTGTATGGAGTGACAGTCGGGCTGTGTGTGTGTGCTGTCGTCATGTGCTGATCGTGTGCTCATTATGTTTCAGTGGCTAACCCCGGCCGGGTTTCGGAGCCTGATTGCCCTAGTCGGGACGAACGGTCAGGGTGTGGGTACTAGCGCCATCTCTGTTTGGGTTCGGAACTGCACCAGTCTTGATCTGCCGCCTGAGGAGCAAGACAAACTGGACGAGGTCATCAACCAGCTGTATGAGGACCTTGAAAAAGGCACGTTTACTACGTTCTGTCGCAGTACACACTGCTTGCTGTGACATTCGTCGACCCTGGCTGCTGCAATGAGGTCGGGTCACGTCCGGGGATGCAGTCACCCGCATCGTTCAACACCATGCATCGCGTATAGAGTCACAGGACGTCCTGCACCTTGCACCAGTGAACTGGTGTGCTGCGCCGAGCAGTTGGCCCGTCGCGGGGGCGCGCCGCCAGCTGACCCCCCCCCCCCCTCCCCCCCTGCCAGAGGCCGGCTGCTTCCTGAACAACGAGGGCTCGGCGTTGTACCCGCTGCAGTCGTCATGCAACCACAGCTGCACGCCGAATGCCATGCCGGGCTTCCCGTGCGACAACTTCCACCTGGTCATGTCGGCCACGCAGGACATCGCGGCCGGCGAGCAGATCTGTGTCAGCTACCTGGACGAGTGTGCGCTCGAGCGGAGCCGGCACAGCCGCAGCAAGATACTCAGGTCGGTCCCTCGGCCGGCGCCTGGCCGCTCCGCCTGCGCGCGCCTGGCCAGAGGAGCGCCCACAGGGGCCTCAGGTCGGCCACGGCCATTTGGTCCCGGACACACCAAACGCTCGTGATTTTCGTGCTCGGCTTCGCTGGTCACTTGGCTTGAAGCCGAGTGTGAGGCGAGCGGGCTATACACGCACCTGTTGGATGCTTAGGTCGTTCCGAATGTCGTCAGCATTTCTGTAGCGCGTTGTACTGAAACAAGCACGCGTTGCCGGAATAAATAGCTTGATATCGTGCAAGCTGGCGCTTATGGATCTCGTTGGTCATGTCTAGGTTACCAGAACGTCTGTAAGGGATGCTGGGTGAACCAGTGTGTTACGATGATATACGCATTATGCTTGTTGACAAGCCAGGCCAGGCTGGAAGGAAGAAACAACGCCTGCCGTTCTTTGACCAGAATTTGCCTGCGACGGAAATCGACGGCAACATCTTTTTTTACAAAATGTGGTGCATCGTTTGGTGCAGCACAGAATAGCATGCGGGGTTGGTCTATATCGCTGGTGAGAGGGACCACATTGTGGTCGTGCTCCGAATCTCGGACTGGTTTCGAATGCAGACGCCGGCCAGGTATTGCGTCGCTCCCTCGTCGGTTCGCGTGCAATATCTCGCCACTTGATGACGGAGATGTCGAATTCACCGCTGAAGCTCAAAAGGATTCATCAGGAATGGGCATTGCTGTCGCTAGGCGCGTTATGAAATGTTTCGGTGCGGTTGGGGCTCGAGAACATATTTTGTATGGCCACGCATTGTCACTCTTTATCGGGCTTAAGACAAAGCTTGACCGCCTAGCGCTCTCGCGGTCAGAACTGTGTGGTAGGCGCACCGATTTTTTTTTGTATCCGAGGTCATCGCGCTCTGAGCAACGGCGCGGCCGGCACCAGGCTGACCGTGACCCGCCTTCGCCAGGGGAAACTACCTGTTCAACTGCCAGTGCGGCCGGTGTCAGGCGGAGGCGGACCAGCCGGACGTCACCAGCGAGGAGGAGATGGACGAAGAGGATGAGGACGGGGAGGAGGGGCAGGACGGTCAGGCCTGCTGACGGCACCGGCCCCGCGGCCACTGCCACCAGGGCCGCACGCGGGGTGCCCGCTGACGCCACACGCGGCGCGGCGCCGACGGACCGCCGCGCGCCCACGACGGCCCGCGCACTAGACCCCGCGCTCACGGCGCTAGCGACCCGTGCTGTGGCCGGTGTTGGCAGGGCCACTCCGTGCTACGGCCGGTGTCGGCAGGGCCACTCTGTGCTGCGGCCGACGTCGGCAGGGCCACTCCGTGCTGCGTCCGATGTTGGCAGGGCCACTCTGTGCTGTGGCCGATGTCGGCAGGGCCACTCGGTGCTGTGGCCGATGTCGGCAGGGCCACTCCGTGCTACGGCCGGTGTCGGCAGGGCCACTCTGTGCTGCGACCAGTATCGGCAAGACCACTCCGTGTCCTAGCTGGTGATGCCGAACACATTGTGATGCGCAACAGCTCTCGGCTGCGGTGAGGTATGGAGCTCGGGACGCTCAGGCGTGACGTGGACCAGTGGGACGCACCTGTTCAGGTGGCTGCGGTCGTTTGGCTCGGAGTCTGGTGGCAGGTTAAGTCGCGACCGAACTGTTTTGGGAGACGTGATTGCGCAATATGTGAGCGCCGCTTCTATCTGTGGATGTTTTTAACATTGTTAGAACGGTTAAACCTCGCTTGCTGTACCGTGGCCGTGTGTGGCGCAATGTGGGTGTACGTTTGTCACCGATCGGCGCGATCTGCTTGCTTGTTGCCGTGCATCACGTATTCATCGCGTCGCCGCCTGACACAGTGTGGAAACGGGGGCTCGTAGTGCCGTGTCCCTTTTGCTACCGCTGCTCGTTTACGTCGGGCGTCTCGCAGACTTGGGTTGTGCGTGACTTGGCAATACACAGTTCCATTTGTGAGACGGTGGGTGTTGGCATTATGTTAAGCGATGTTGGTTTGTGACACGGGCTGTAGACTTCAATCAGTCGCAGCCTGTCATTGTGTCATCTGCAGTCAGCTGAGCGAGTTACACGCGCTTTGGAAGCTTCCATTTTGTGATGTCTGGTGGGGTTTTGTTTGTGGCATTCCACTTGCCTCACATAGATTCAATAACCAGTTTTCGGTTATTTGAAATGGATGCTATAATAGCGTTACAATCCCGGCCAAAAGCTCGCTCTAAGTTTTGTCCGATATGAAATTGATGTGGACTCCGCCTGCCGATATTGACCTGAGTGGAAGGAGGCCAAAGCAGGTGATGTCTTACCAGCCATCGCAACATGGGTCATGCTAAAGGAAATAGAAGCGATGTCGTTCAAATTCCTATGAGGCGATAGATAACACCGTGTTAAAAGAACTAAAATGACACAACCATACATGCTTGACGATCTGAACATGGTGGATATAGACTCCTTTAAAAAAAACTTCCAGATGTCGTGGATTCGAAGACTTCTTTGCTCTCAACACGATTGGTCGAAACTAATTATGGCGAAATTTGTCTCTCTTGGAAACCTGGTGACCTATGGACCAACAAAACTAGGATACGTCATGAAGTGATTTCGTAATCCGTTTTGGAAGAATGTGTTTCAAGCGTGGTTAGAGCTTTCTTCACTATACATTCCAGATCAGCATCAGCTTCTCTCCAGAAAAGTATGGTTTTCGGATCTGACTAAGTTTAACAACACCATACTTAAGGGCTGCGACGATGAAGGACCTAAGATTCTTAGCAGATCTTATTAGCCCGTTATCTGGGGAACTGTACTTAAGGCAGGAGGTGAGAGAGATTTACAACACTCCAATGGCATTCTTGTGCCACGAATCTCTCGTCAGAAGCCTGCTGCAAATGATTAAGAAATCGAACCATAGGGGATTGATATTGCGCCCAATAATACCTGACCAAATTAGTCCGGCAAATCAAGGTTACATCACGATTCGCATATAGGTAGTATGTATGGTATTTCCAGAGTAACAAATAAAACGTTCATTCAATCCCTTCATTTCCACATGATCAACGGAATAATCTCAACAATTTTTTCCTGTACAGCATTGGTCGATCAGAAAGAAATTGCTGCACATTTTGCTTGTATTCAGTTGAAACATTGATACATTTATATTGGGATTGTTTGATAACCCAGGATTCCTTCACAGGCGTTGCCACCAAAATATCCGAGAAATTTAGCCCAGTACTAAACCTTGACAAGAGGCAGTAGATATTCCCCATCTTACAAAGCTCGAGTAGCATTAAATTTTTTTTATAAAATTAGCCAAGCTCACGATTTATGAGGCGCATCTGAAGAAAGTTCTACCACAATTAAGACATTTCCTAAACCTACTGAAACATGAAGTACAGAAAGAGCGCTGCTCCGCCAAATTATGTAACGAAACGAATAGCTTTAACAACGAGTGGGAAGAGTGGTGATAATGCTACGAATATTGCCCGAAGTCTCACAACCATAAAATTAAAGTGCAGAGCGCGCGCATGCACGGCACAACACAATTCAAACAAATATGCACGTATTCTCTCACACACACACATGCTTCCAAACTACAAACACGCACACCACACACTTGCAGATACATGTACGCATTCACGTCCTTCCTGCACGCACCATTCGCGGTAAATACGCGTGTGTGATCGAGGTGGGAGGTCGCGGTGGCACTCGTTCCAAACCATGCACGCGAAAACTGGACATTGTGGGTTTAATGCGGACCGTGCTGTAGATATTCTTATGTGTGAGAAATTATTTGAAGTGATGTGCCCGTATACATGACAGGCTGCGATGATATGGCAGGTGTGACTGGATATGATTGCCGAATATCATGTGCGACCGATCATTGTACGCATCGTCTTCATGTGATTATTTTGATTGTATGTGACGTGATTTGCGAATAAACTGAAAAAAGGATGCACCACGTGACATCAGCGGGACTCGCTCCCTGCTGGCGGGGCCAGTGATGATCCAGTTTCAGGAGGCGTCGGCGCCGGCGAGCCGGATCAAACAGATCAGATTGTCGCCAGGAACCGAGCGCTGTTCGCTCGTGACACTGCCGGAGCGTCGGAGATGACATCAGTACCACACAGGAGCCGACACTGTCAACTGCGGGACTGGCTGCACACCCGCGTCATGGTCAGCACACTGACCAGCGCGGCAGGACGATTGCCAAGCGGTTGATGGATTCTGGGAGCGTGTGAGGCGCAGGAAGTCCTGCTGCAGGAGGCGGGTGCAGTTCTGGGGCCATGTTACCGCGTCATAAACGTCTGCCTCGCAGGCGTCAGTCTTAGAAGATACATATGTGGACTGTCTAGAGGCTCGTGCACACATCACCGAGCGTCTGTAAAGCGAAGTAGCAGATCCGCGGAAGTCCAACGGAGACTTCAGGACCAAACATGCCTCACGGCAAGCGCGTATGACCGAACTAGAAGTCCGGGTAGCAGCACCGGCCACACCCACCGTGGTTTGGCCTGGCCGGAGCGCTGCGCGTGCCATTGCTGGGCCTGCGCCGGGAGCTGCAGTCCTCGGCTGGACCGGCCGAACCGCCTGCGGCGCGGTTCGCAGAGGTGCTGGCTGATTTGGTTGGGCTACTGGCCGCGTGAGGCGCTGCGGTGTTGGCTGGACCGGCTGCTGAGCGGGGTCCGGCAGCGGCGGCCGGAGCGGCTGGCCTCGGAACCGTGGCAGCGCCTAGCCGGGTGGCCGCACGTGATGGCTTCTTACCACCGAAACCGACTCTCGCGTCGAACGTCCCGACTCACAGTCGTCCTGGTCAGCTGATGTAGGTCTTCCTGGCCTGGTCTGGCTGGCCGAGCGACCTGTGCTCTGGACCAAGCCCCCCCCCCCCCCCCCCTGGACGTTCAGCGGCTTGCCGACGTCGCAGTAGCTCAGATGTAACGTTCAGTCGCTGACCCGACATTTGGCGGAGCCAGTGAGGCAGAGATGTTGGATGGCGCCACAGACGTTGGTGTCGCCATCGAGAGGCATCGGAATCGAGGATAAAAAACAACGTCTGAAGTACTCCTGCTCAGCCTGGCCCCACCAGTCGACCAGAGGACAGCGCGTTGGTAGTGGATACCGGCGACCGGTCTGCTCCGCATGTAATGTAGGCAGTACCGGTGAGAATACCCTGTGTTATTGAGCGTTTGCTCGGACATGCCCGACCATACTGTCACCAAGCTGTTCAACTCGCGGTCAGTCAATACTGGGTTCCAACAATTACTGAGTGCAAGCGCGAGTTCAGGAAAATCCCATCGCAGTTTGGTGGGGGGAAAGAATGGCGTAGTTCACGTATCAGACCCGTCCCGCGCGTATTACATCCGGCATTGTGCGAACGCCAGCGGTGGCCATGTCCGTCGACCAAGACCATCTCAGCTGAATGATGAATAGGCGAACAGCAGCTGCCGCTTGCCAGTACTGACAGCAGAAGGCAAGGCAGCAGCGGCCAGGGCGGCGCTAGTGATACTACTAAGATCGACAGCAGCGGTCGCGGTAGCAACATCAGCAGCTGTGGCTGCGGCAGCAGCAGTGGCCGCAGCTTTAGCTGCAACAGCGGCGGCAGTAGCAGCGGCAGCAACAAGAGCAGCAACCACAGCGGCAGGATTAACAGCTACAGTGGAAGCAGCAACAGCTTCGGTGGCAGCAGCAACTGCAGCAGCAGCAGCAGCGAATGCGGCACCGGCCGAGACGACAGCAGAGGACCCAAGAGCCGTCGGAGCACGGCGCACTGCAATCGTAGCTGTTTGGGTGCTACCAAAGCCGTTGCAGACGGAGACCCGCCGACACAGCGGGACGGAGGCAAGGCCCCGCTGGTGCCCCGAGCTCAGCGTTCCGCGAGTGTTGCCGCATCTCTCTAGCAATGCAGCCGATGTGACCGCCAGCCGGTGGCCATTGTGCAAAGATTGGCCCAACAGCGTCCGATAACATTGGCAGCGATTAGGCCGATAAGCTGGCGTCAGGAGCACGTAAACTCCGCGTAGGGAGCGCGTTTTGGAGGGTGTTCTCATCGTGGAACGACGCGGTATGCATCTGATGCGCGAGCTGATTTGAGTCTTACCAGCAACCAAGCTCTCCTTACCAGAGTCGAGCACATTGCGGCGATTACTTTCTGGTGGCAGCGCGATGGATGTAGGCGCTCCGTCCTGTGCTATGGTGCTGTCACCTTGTGCTGAAGAATTGTCGTCGCCGCAGCGGTGCGGCCATGCTGTCGCGCCGAGACATGAATGTCGTATTTGATGAGGTGTATTGTGATAACCTACGTTTAGTCATTACCACCATTAGACGGGTATCACCTAGCCATATCACATCCCTGTCGGATGATTAGGGGCTATGCCAGCATGCTACAGATACTGTTCTTTCATCCGACATAGGTACTGTCATGCCATACGAGTACTATCGTGTAACTACCGAGGAAGCAGAACTGTATGCAACCACTTGCGTGGAGCCGAAGATGCTGGTAACGACGCCTCGTGCAGCGGCACCTGTGGTCGTTCTGGGTCATTTCAACCGTGCTCTGCCGGTGATTTCATCATTCGTTTCAAAGATGAAATGCAGCAGTTGCTCAACCCACACTGGTAAGTGGCAGCAAAACTCCTGTACGACTATCAGGCACAGTACACACATGAACAGGATGGTGTCACGGCCCATATCTGTAAATGTAGCCGTGCCGCCGGCCCACTCGTTGCAAGCGAGTTGAAGTCGAATAGTGCGTTGCGAGCTTCAGGTGATCCAGGTGCAGTTTCCAGTGGAGTATGTAAACAAAACCAGCTCGGGCATCCACTTCGGAACATTTCTGTGATGAGACCGGAAGAAGTGACGGTGGATCCGGTAAAAAAATGGGAACAAATGTAATTTACACATCGTCTGTTTCATGCAGCACAATGTGTTCAACTTTTTCTACAATATGGAGAGGGGTT